ATCAGCGACCTCGCATCAAACGGCAAATCAAAACCATCCAGCAAGCACCCCGCAATACAGAAAAAAAAAAAAAAGATTCTCCATGTATACTGCTGCAAGTTCAGATTCAGCGATCAAACCCTAACAATCCCGAATCAACGTGTGATCACGAATCCCCAAGTACATGCTCGGTATCGCTCGGTGATGTGACCCCCGCGGGTGCTTCCCCCGGGTGTCGGCTGGGATCCCAGAACATGGATGCGACCTAGCTCCGCCACTGTAGAAGCGGCCAGGAGCTGGCTAGCGGCGCCGGTGTTGCCGAGAGCGGGTCGGGATTGCTCGGTTCGTCCAGGCATTTTGGTGGTCCGGCCCAACCCGTGGTGCAGCTCCAGGTTCCCGTTCTGGTGGCCGCACGGGCGCACGGTCCCCCAGCTGCTGCGGAGCGGCGTGGCTTCGTCGCTCTCGGCGTGCCCATAATAAGTCACCCCGACTTCGTTAGAGCCCAGGCCGCTAACCGCCTTGATGCTGAGGCCGACTTACTTCGGAAACTCATCCAGCTCCCCAATGTCCCGTGTGCCTGGCTCTTGCTCGCTTTCTGGGCAGCGCCTCGTGCACGGCATCTGCTCCGCAACGTGCCCCCAGCCGACATCCTGCCGTACGCTCGCGGTCACGACGATGCGCTCTGGGCGGTAGTTGAAGGCTTGCTCGGCGACCAAGGACCCGGCGAGGGAGAAGACTGGGTTGCTGCTCGCCAGGTCTTTTTTTTCCCGCCGAGCCTGAGAGGCCTCGGTCTCTTGGCAGCGGAGCGGGTATCACTGGCAGCATACGGAGCGGCGTGGGTAGATGGGCTCCCGGTGTTGCGCCAACGATACCCCAACGCAGCAGCTCGGCTAGTGCACGAGCTCGAGGGCAAACCGTCAGTGCCTAGCTTGCTGCGGAAGGCTGGACGAGTAATGACGAGCAGACCGGAGTGGGCGTCTTGCGCCCGCGGCGCCGGCCGCTGAGGGTGAACTCGGCCAGGAAACCCAGGTTGGCAGCGACACGTCGTTCTCGCACTTCACACTTCTTTTCGAGAACGCGTGTTGCTTGCGGCCTTGGCTCCGGCCGCTCGCGCCCTCCTCCACTCTCAGTCCGGTCCGCCCGCTGGTATGTGGCTTGCGGCAAGTCCTTCGGACGCAACCTGCACCCTTGCACCCGACCAGATGCACGTCGCAATGAGGCGTCGCCTTCGGCAGCCCTTGCCCGTCACGGCCCTGCACTGTGGCGCGGAAGGCCGGCATACATACAGGACCACCACCTCGCCTGCCCACGCACGGGCCTGCTTGCCCAGGCGTGGTTTCGTCGTTGAAAGGGCAAAAGGTTCAAGTCGCTGGCGAAGCGGTCGGTCCGGAAGGACGGGTCGTGCCGCAGCAGTGGCTGTCGCGCACAACAGCGCCGCAGGTTCACCCCGACGGACCGTCGCCACCTCGACTTCTTTGTCTACGGAGCAACGAGCAACGGCGAAGCTTTGTGCCGCGATGCAACCCTCGTCTCCCCCCTTACTCGCGCTGGCCGCCCTGTCCCCGGTGCCGACGCGCGGGAGGGAGTCGCGCTTGTCGCGGCGCGCCGACGCAAATTCAAAGTCCCGCGCTACCGGAGTTGACCCACGGAGAGCCTCAACGACTAGTAGTCCTGACTGCAGAAGTCGGGGGCCGCTGGAGCGACGAGTGCCAGCAGTTCCTCCGTACCCTACTCCGGCTCCGTGTCCAAGGCGCCCCACTACCCTTGCGCGCCGCTGCAGCCCAGGGCTGGGCGCGCCGCTGGTGGAGTGTGCTGTCGGTTGCCCTGCAGCGAGCCGTCGCCAGCTCCGCGCTTGGAGTCTGGACCATACCGCCGCTGCCTGGTCCCGTTGAGTGACGTGTTGGATCTCGCGGTAGCGAGCGCCCTGAGCGCGCTGCCGCTTCGCTAGCACCCCGTAGGCGCCTTTAGGTCTCTGTAGTTTCCGACGTTGGGACACGTTGTGCGGACGTACAAAGGTGCGGAGAAAAAAAATGGAAGAGCCCGCCAGATCTGCCAGAAGCAAATCTACACGCAACTGCGCTGCCAGCCGCAGGCTTAACGAAGTTGGCAAGCCAATACTTAAATCAACTGAGTTAATATACGCATCACAGGTGGTCAGGGCCGCTCTGATTGATGCATGTCACTGTGTCGATACAGTGTGGGCTCCCAGATTTGTCGGGATCGCTTGAGCAGGCTCTTCCCTGAAGCGTTCCAAGCACGGAGTCTCGCACTTGACTGCGACGTCCGATGTTGGAGATGTTTGAAGCGATGTTGAGGACCCAGCCAATCCAAGCCGACCCTCAACCCGTCCTCGAGCTCAAGGGGCAACCACACCGTTACTGTCATCGAGAGAGGTGTCGTAATATGTCGTACCGATACCTCCTTGGACGAACTGCGCTCAAAGAAAACGATTAATTTACTTCCCACCACTCCGTGCCAGCAGCTGTGGAGCGGCCTGAGGCGTTGGGATTTTCGAAGCCGCTTGTTTATATCATGTTTTCCCCTATGTGTCGCTTACAGGAAATCTCGGTCCCGCCGTTTTTTCGTGTCTTGGGTAAGGCCTCAGCTGCTGTAGAGGACAAGAAGCTGTACAGTGTGTCTACGGAAGATAGAAGCACGGCACGCTGTTTCCAGGGAAGATAACACGGGCAGCAACGGGCAAGCTTGGAGGCTGATCGATGAGTCGAGCTCCTCCCTCGTGACAGGCGGCTCGCCCTGTTGGATGTTGTCGAGATGCCGCTTCAATTCAATTTTTCCTGTCGAAAAGCGCTCCACATCGCTCCACTGTTAGCTTGCGATGAACACCTGCGGGAGCTTTGCAAGTGCATCGCGGAAATACTTCTCGCGACCCTCCTCAGAGGCCGGATCCGAGGGGACGTTCATCTCAAGCCTGGTTCATACAATTTCATGTAAAAAAGCTGCAGACAGCTGGACGAGTCCTAAATTTTTTTCTCCCGCAGCAGACGTGTCCGGCGAGGCTTGGTTTTCAGGAGGGGACGATAGGGGACGCATGTCGCGCTCGTAGTCTAGAGGCGAAAGCTGCAAGGTCGTGTTGTGCCGACTTGCTTTACGCATGACACCTTGTGGGCGGCGCGCTCCCCGAAACAAGAAACAGTGGCTTGGTGAGCTGCTCACCGGCCGGCACCAGGAGCAACAGAAGTAGCAAAGCAAGAGAGCCTCCGGCTTGGGCGGCGCCGCGGAAGCGGGGGTGGTGCGGGGCAAAGCGACTGAGGTTCCGGCCCAAGAAATCGGTCAGGAGAACGAAGGCGAAGGCAGTCCACGAGAGCTCATGCAAAAAAAGGAAGAGACCAGGAGCTGTTGGCAAATCGCAAAGCTTGGTCCGTAAGAGTTTTGGTTTGAGTTCTCTGCATAGATAAGGACTTAAAACCATAAATGATAGGGACCACGGCTTGACGGCTCATCGTTCTGAAGGAAAGCTTAAGGTAAACATCTGACCGACCAGGGTTCGCGACTTGTCTCTTAAATCTTTGGATAACCCGAGCAAGGCCGCAAGCCAATGCGGGATGCGGGTGACACTTTTTGCACCCGACAAGGAGGCTCGTTGCGATTTAAGGTTTCCCAAAGCATCATCGTGAAGGGATGAGGGGTGCCCTCCTTGCGATTGAAGGTCAACAGCGCCGAAAAACGATGATGGGGAGCATCCCGTGGCACCTGGCAGGTATGCGTATTCCAGCATGCAGCCTTGTGCCATGCAGCATCGGAACTGCACCCTTCCGACCCTTGCCTTCCTGGATGACCTGTACATACCTGTATGTGGATAAGACCCGGGAGCGGGCGAGGGCAAGCCGCGACTCCGTCGTCCAAGCTGTGGAGCTCGAATACGGGATTGCATCCAGCGTCGGCTAACTCCCCTGCCGTCTGAGCTGGGCCCGGATGTCTTGCATGGCGACAAGCCTGCACCGCAACGTGGCGTAAGCATGTTGCCACTCTTTCGGGCCGAGGGTTGGCTGCCCAACGTGGCGGACCCCGGCGCCGCCCTCGACCCCAAAGCATTGGTGCCCACCGCCCGGTTCGTGGTGAGGCCAGCGCGGCCGCGAGTTGTGCCCCTTACGGTCTGTACCTCGGAAGCAAGAGTGCAACCTCCAACAATGCGATTTGCATCCAGGCCTGCTCGAACGGCGGCAAGGATTCAAGCAGCACGCGGTCGCGATAGCATGGTTACGAGTCCGCGACATTTGCTGCTGATGGCAATAAAGCCAGTCGCCGTCAAACCTTCCTGGCCGGGGGAGCGCCATCGAGCAAAGCAGTCCACGGGTCTTTCCGGTACCTGCACACAAGGCCGGGGGGCATGCGCGCAAGACGGGAACTGTACCAGCCGACAAGCCGCAGTGTGCGGCGCTGTTCGATCTACGTTTTGTGGGCCCAAGCGCAGGAACGGAGCGGCCAAATGCTAAGGGCGGATTCGACTGAAAGCCTTCGGCCTTCCTGAGTCTGGCCAAAACAGCAGGCGATGGCAGCACTACATGAATGTAGGCATGGGCGTCACTGAGATGCCGTTGGGAGATCTGCTGACACAGGGATCCTGCGCGACGCCGTGCATGTGCATCGACTAAGGACGGCTTGGCTCTGTGCAAGATTTGCACGGCGGATCCGACTCTTTCCCAGCAGTACGTCATTTCACGTGGTGGGGGGATGCGGTTTGTAACACATACTGTCGATGCATTACCGGATTTCCTGAGGCCTGCAAAATGCCGAGAGCGAGCCATCGCCTTCACTTCAACGCCAACTCGCATTACCAACTGCAAAACCACCCAGATCAAAGTCGCCCAAGATAATCAACGACTACATCTCTTCAACATGTTCGAGTGTTTCGGTAGTGCCGACGCTCCTAGTTTTCTGACGATGTCTTACGGAGCATGAACGGAACAGTCATGTTTGACAGGTGAGCGCCGGTCGGATACATCTCCTATCCCTAAGAGATGCACCAAGGCCGGCTTCGCCTCTGTAGCGCGCGCTTTTCCTCACGGCACTGAGTGTTTCTGGTCGGTGCCGAGCTCGCAAAGGCCAGCATCGTTGATGGCAAACCTTGGCAACAACAGAGCTTCGAGGTCCTTGATCGAAGGGAACGCTCTAGCTCGTTATTTGCAAGGACCGCTCCGTAAATCAACACTGCAGTTTGATGTCCCTTTTTTTACAGCATCGAAGCAAGGCTCCGATCGAGGCTTGGGGTGCCTGGGCTGCTGTGGCCTGGTGTCTTGGGTCGTGTTCAGACGCACTCTGCTTGTATATCAGCCGTGTGGCTTTACAAATATTCTGGCACAACCCCACATAGCAAGTCTTTTGCGCGTGAGTCACGGGCTTGGCGGAAACGAGTCTACAAAGGACAAACATTCCAGCCGTCCATGCCCAACAAACGCCTCCGCCGAATCCCTCACAAGGACATCCTGACAACGTCAGCAGCGCCATCTCCCTTTCAGATCTCACCGTCGCTTGGGGCAGGCTTGTGCTTGGGCTCGGCTCACTGCGTGCTCGATGGGCTGCACTGGGCGTCAGGTGTTCTGAGTGTCCTCAGAAGCCCAGAAGGGAAGCCACAAGTTCAGCCGCCGTCAAGTTCTCGGATTGGGGCTCCACGTGGTCGAGGCCTTGGTTACCGGCCCGAAGTAGATTCGCCTCACGGGCCTGGAGCAGGCGTTCACACCAGGCCAACCAGTCTCTCTGGAAGAGCCCCTCCGCCCAGACCTGCCGAGGCTTCGTCAGGGTCTCGACGTCCGACTCGCCTCGTTCCTTCAGCTGCAGATTTAGCTGCTGAACTCTCTTCTGCAACCTTTCCTTCGTGGACTCCAGCCGCTCTTTGCCTGCCGGACTCCCCGTCAAAGCGGAGAGGTCCAGCACGCGCCGGACCCGCGCGTCGCAGGCGCCGGGCTTGGCGATGGCCGCCGCCCGGCCGGCCTCCTCCGCGAAGCTCTCGAGCTCGGACTTCAGGTCCTCGGGTCCCTGCACTTCCGGAGCCTTCGGGAGCGGGGTGCCCATCTTCTTCTCCAGGAAGAGCAGCAGGCTCCGGCAGGTCTGCAGGTTGGAGGGTGTGTTGCAAAGAAGCTCCGGTGCGAAGCCTCGGAGGGCAACGGCGAGCTTCCGTTTCTTCCCCACGGGCTGGAAGTAGTCCATGGCAAGCTCGATCCGCTCCTCCGCGCTCTTTTCAGATGGCTGCATCGCTGAGATCACATCGAGCTTCACCGGCTCTGCATTCTCTGCAGGCTCTGCAGGCTCCGCAGGCTTTCCAGGCGCTGGCGCTGGTTCCTTAGGGGCTTCCTCGGCCTTCTCCTCACCCTTCGTTTCCGCTTCGACGGGCGCCGGCCTCGGCTCGCCCTTTCTTTCCGCCTCGGTGTCTGCAGCTTCTGCTTTCTGCTCCGGCTCTCCCGGCCCGGCCATGGCTGGGAAGCGCCGCCTTTGGGCCTTCTCTCCCTGGGGCCAAATCCGATCTCCGGGGGCCCTTCTTCAAAAAGTAGGGGAAGGGATAGAGGGTATAGGGCTTAGGGTTTAGGGTTTAGCCATGCGCTTTCAAGCGATGCAGGCCAGGGCCCTTGCTGGACAGCCATGGATTTGAAGCAGGGGCTCTTCTCGACCTCAAAGGGGCAGACAGGGACAGGACATACACCTTCTAAGGCTCTAGAACTTTCACTGCAGGATATGTCCATCAGGCTTTGTGCCCGGAAGCCCTATAACCCTAAACCGCCTTTGCTAGGAACACAGAGGCCCGGACAACTAAGTACCGACGACCAAAGGGATCTGCCTGCTCCTTGCTTCCAGGACCTCCAGCAGATCCTTCGACAAGTCCAAGTTCACCTATACTCTATACGAGTAAGTTCTATATAAATATATAGGTTATACAAAATATATGAAATAAATGAATAATTTCTGTAGTGTACAGTATATCATATATTGTATATTATATCTTTCGCAGTAAAAAGCATAGTATATCTGACTCGCAACAGGCTGGTAAAGCCATGCTAGCACTCGTGAGTACAGGCTCAGGAGACTACGACAGCGATTGAGCGGTATGGACCGTCCTGGCGGTAAATGACTAAGGACCAGCCGCCAGTTGACGGAATGGTGCCAAACCTGGCGGTAGCAACTAGCGTTTTGGCTCACAGTCGCCGTGCACTGCAAGCACTAACTGAGCCAGCAGAACATGGCCGAGAGTAACTCGACTAATTCCTGCGGAGGGGTCCCCCATGACCTGGTTGGTCACGACCTCACCAATCGTTCCAGCATGTTCCAGCGAAGTGAGCTTCAACTTCTTGCGGTCTTTTCTCTAAGTCTCTCACGACACCCGGGGATATGGCTCCCGGTGGCTCCTGAAACTGCAAGTGGCGGCCGTGGCTGCACGGGCGTTTGCACTTTCAACACAGCACAGAAAGCGCAGGATTGCCACATCGCCGACTGAACATCGCCCTCCTGCAACCGCCGTTGGCGGGGCCTTGCAACCAGGACCTCAGACATCACTCGGAGTTGGATGTACGGTGGATGCATTTGTCCGGCCCGCTGGCCCGCATGTCGTGCCTTGAGCTGGCTCGCCAAGCTGCTCAACAACGCCTCGGTGGGCATGCATCCTTCCTACAATGTGGTAACGTGACATAGACAACATATACATATACATATACATATACATATACATATACATATACATACACATCTACATACACATATACATATACATATACGTATACATATACATATACA